ATTAAAAAATAAATAAATAAATAAATAAAATAAAATAAAATGTAAGACTCCAGACAGCAGGACAGTAGGGGCTCCACATTTACTTAATGAATGAACAAGCAGTATGCCACTTTCTTTAAACAGGTTTGAGAAATGCACTGGACCGAGTTTCACTTTAAAAACAAAGTATCAGTAAAATAAGAATTCTTTGAAATAGAGCTCATTACTTACCAAGGTGAGAATCTTCAAGATGGCGGCGCTGAATGTGACTTTGTAGAAAAGCTTGGTTCATAAAAGCCTTGTCACAAAAATGGCACTGAAATGGAGAGGGCAACAAATCCAAGTGTCTGTGTTAAGTGTTCTTCCACTTAGTTTCAATTAAAATTTACATCCTGAACCACCATATCTAGGGGCTTCCTCTGCTGAAAGATACCATACTAACAAGTGATACTGAAAGCCCAACTAAAAAACATTATATATAGAGAGAGAGCGATTGTTGCTGTTCCCATTAGCCTGGTAATTCCCACCTTTTCACCACCAACTTCCTTATAACAACTCCAACCACACTAAACCTTCTTTATGGCCCCTCAGCATGCCAAGTTCATTTCTACCACAGGGCATTTGCTCTAGCTGTTCCCCTACCTGAATCTGCCTGATCTTCACATAGTAACGTCCTTTTTGACATTCAAGATAGCAGCTTAAACTCAACTAGAAGGCTTCAGCACTGTATATAGAACTATCTACTGAGCATTTCCCCACTGAGGATGAATGGCATGTCCTCAATACAATCTTCCCTGATGATCCTCCCATCACTCACTGTCAGACCACATTGTTTTATTTTCAGCATTGTACACATCAACTCATTAATATGTTCATATTTGTTTACTTCATTTGCTTATTGTCTCCTTTGTAAATCCCTCTAAAATTCAAGAATATAAGCTTGCTGAGAGCAGGGATTCTGACTGTCTTATTCATAGCTTTATCCTCCAATACTAAATAATTGAACATATGTCTGGAGCCCTCATGGAGCAATGGTTAAGCACTCACCTGCTAACCAAAAGCTGGGCTGTCCAAATCCACTCAGCAGTTCCGCAACAGAAAAGATCCAGTGATCTGTTCTCATAAAGATTACACCCTAGGCATCCCTATGGGGCAGTTCTACTTTGTCACATGGGGTCACTATGAGTCAGAATCAACTTGACAGGCTGTAACAAAATTAACTTACTGAGAAAAAGAATGATACCACCAAGATATCTATTTTTCCATTTTAATGTTGGCTCAAGTTTTAAATAAAACTCAACTAATTTTATATATATAACCTCATCTCTGGATTACACTGAAGTAAATCTTGGATGTTATATATTTCCTTTGTATATATTTCAGGATGTATCTCTAAAACATACATCGTTTTCTTACAACACAACCGTAATACCATTATCCTACCTTTTAAATGTGAAAATCAATTTCCGAATCTCAACAAATCCCTAGTCATTGTGCCACCACCCCCAATATTGCCAACATTGCCTTAGCAAATATTTTGAATCAGTATCCAGAAAAGGCCCATATCCTACAACCAGTTACTAGATCTTAACTCTCTTTTACTCTATAGCTTCCGTTTCTGCCTCTTTTTTTTCCCTTGCAACCCTTCTGTTAAAGGAGCCAAACATTAGTCCCACAGAGTTTCTCTCAGTTTGAATATTACTGTTTGCATTCCTACTGTGTCAACTCTACTCACTGTATTGCTTTACTCTTTTTAAAAATAATTCTTCTTGTTGTTGACACACAGCAGAACATACACCAATTCAACAATTTCTACATGCACTATTCAGTGACATGGACTACACTCAAGTGTGTAACATTCTCACTCTGCTTTTCCAAATTGTTCCTCCCCCGTTAACATAAACTCACTGCCCCTTCTGATTCCTATCTGATCATTCGAGTTACTATTTTCAATTTGGAAAAAGCAAATCATTCACACAACAACAACTAAGCTAGCCTCAAACTTCTCCACAGCAAATAACTTGCTAGTTGACAAATGAAACATGCCTACAAAGTTCAGAGGAAGAGTGTAACCTAAGAATATTCTACCTAGCCAAGATAGATGTCTTTCAAACTTGAAAGGCCGAGGGAATTCAGTAACCACTGCCCTTTGGGGAGGCAAAACCATTTTGACAATCTTATTAATTAAAAGAGGAATCAAAATAAAAGAACTCAGGAATGGACATTAAGGCAAAAGGGTTCTACACATAAATACAGAACGAAAAAAATAATTAAGAAATTATGGTTGGATAAGATAATATAAATGTTACAAATGTGGAAAGTATAACTCTCAAAACTGGGAGGGGCAATGGAATTAGTCAGACAGCTTCAAGGCCTAAATGCTTGAACGCAGGGACCAGCAAACATTTTCTGCAAAAGGACAGATAGTAAATATTTTCTGCAAGACCCGATAGTATGTCAGCTTTGCCTAACATATCTCTGTCTCAAGTACTCAATTCTGCCACTGTAATGTGACTGTGTACCAATAAAATTTTATTTCAAAAAAACAAGTGGCAGGCCAAATTTGAAAAGTCGGTCAGTTTTCTGATTCCTTTAAAGCAAGGATTCAGTGGCTATGATCTGTACTTGAAGACATATAAATAAAATTCTTAAAAACACATGGGCCCCAACTTCATGTTTTGTTTCTGGTGTTTTATTTTTTGAACAATTTGTTGTGTTTTAGGTGAAAGTTACACAGCAAATTCATCTTTTATTCAACTATTTAAACAGAAATCTTTCCATAACATTGATTGCTATGCTTGCAATGTGTCAGAACTCTCTCCATTTCCACCTTGTATTCTCTATTTCCATCCCTCTGGTTCCCCTGACCCTCCCTACCTTCTCATCTTTGCTTTTGGACAAACGTTGCCCCTTTGGTCTCATATAGTTGGTTCTCTAAGAAGGACATTCCTCACAGGTGTTCGGTTTATATTATAGGGCAATCTATTATTTGGCTGAAAGGTGACCTCTGGGAGTGGCTTCAGTTCCAGGTTAAAAGGGTGTCTTACAGCAATAGTCTTGGGAGTTCCTCCTATGATCAGTTTAGTAAGTATAGTAGTTACATTTGTGTGTCAACTTGCCTGGGTCTGGTTGAGTGGCTGGGCAGCTGGATGTAGTATTTCCCATGATGAGACTGGCAATCAACTCCATGGTGGAATGTACTGTGAGAAGCTGAGTAGCTGCCTTAGGGATGTGGTCAGTTGTACATAAGGAGCAGACTTGGGAAATGGTTTCCAGCTTATGGCACACTTCAACCCTGCATTATATGTAGCCGTGTCATTGTTTAGCAGCCTGCCATGCTCTGCCGACCTTGGGACTTTCATTGAACTTGAATAAATGGCCTGCCGTGTGGATTGGTAACATCGGGACTGTGCCTTTTTCCTTATCAACCTTGGGCTTGTCAGTCTCAGCAGCCAGCAGCTGTTTGAGTGAAGAAAGCCTCTAGCTTCAGTGGGCCAGGAGCAGGAGGCAAAGCTGAAGCCCAAGGTTGAGGGGCTTTCACCCAACCCCTAGAGCCTGGTACCTTGAACTCAGACTTAAAGCCTCCATACTGTAAGAGAATAAACTCCTGTTTGTTAAGGCTATCCCATTTGTACTATATTCTTGTCAGAGCAATACTAGATAACCAAACAGTAAATCTGGTCTTTTATATGAATTTAAATTTTGTTCTACACTTTTCTCCTATTCTATCCAGGACTTCCTATTTTGTCTCTGGTCAGAGCACTCAGCAATGGTAGCTGGGCACAATCTAGCTCTTCGTGGCTTAGGGTAGAAAAGGTTGTGGTTTACGTGGGCCATTAGTCCTGTGAATTAATTGCTTCCCCTTTGGTTTCCTTCGCTCTCCTTTGCTCCAGATGGGAAGAGACCAAGAGTTTTATCCTAGATGGCTGCTCACAAGTTTTTAAGACTCCAGATGCTTGCTACTCAATAAGCTAAGAAGTAGAACACTATCTTTAATAACTGTTATGTCAAATAACCTACACATGCCCCCCAAGACAATGGTTCTTAGTCTTTAAGATAAGTAACTCAGTTCCTGAAAGTATTTGGATATGTCTAAGAAGTTTCCATAACTATGTCCCCTACGTGCTATACTATGTAAATATACATTAGTATTTACAAATATGTATACACAATGCCCAAAACTATACTTATATATGCATGCACACATACTCCCATATGCCCTTCCACACCTATATAGCATACACATCTACCTATGTAATCACTTACAAACTTGTGGTTGCTATTACTATTGTTAAAGAATTGCACATGCTATATATAGCATTTACCATAGTTGTCCTGCATTCTTGCATACCCCTCATATTGTGTACTGCCTTTCTCCGCACCAGAATTAACACGTCTACTATCTAGCAAGTGATTCTCCTTCCCTCCCCTTCTATCCCTGGTAACCATCAAATAAAACTGTTTTCTCTGTGTAAATAAGCCTATTCTTGACTTTTTTATAAAAATGCAGTATTTGTGCTTTTGTGATTGACTTACTTCCATCACTATACTGTCCTTCAGATTCATCCATGTTATGTTTCATGGGCTTATCATTATACTTTACCATTGTATAGTATTCTATTATTATGCATGTACCATGTTTTGTTTATCCATTCATCTGTGGATGGACATAGGTTATTTCCATCTTTTTTTCTTTTGGGAATAATGCTACAATGAACATGGATGTGCATGTCTATTTGTGTCACTACTCTTATTTCTCTAAGATACATACCTACATCATATGGTATTTCTATTTCTAGCTTTTTAAGGAAGTGTCATTCTATTTTCCATGGTGACTATACCATTTTACAGTCCCAACATCAATGTTTAAGAGTTCAAAACTCCCTACAATCTCACCAGCATTTGTTGTTTTCTGTTTTTTCGATTAGCATCATTTTTGCAGGGGTATGATAGTATTTCATTGTAGTCTTGATTTGTGTCATTCTACTGGCTATTGATTGTGGTCATCTCTTCATGTATTTTGTTAGCTGCCTAAATATCTTCTTTGGTGAAGTGTCTGTTCCTCACAATGTTTTAAGTAATCTCTATTTCTCTTTTTTTAATGTTAGAGATCATTTAGGAAGTAACACCTCTCATAATAAA